TGTTCCAGCCATGCCATTTCTAGGATGAGGTCATACCTTGCATCCAAGTCTAAGACTAAACAGCGGATCACGCTATCAAAGTCAAGGAACTTGACTTCAAGGTCCACAGGGACCTTCGGGATAGTGACACGTGCCCCCGTCGCTAGGCGAACAGTGACGATGTTACCCAACCACGCTTTCAGCGCCTCATTGTACAGCTGACTTCCTTCCATCATGGAGAGTCGACCATGATTGCCCGACGCCCCGGAATCGATGAGGATCTTTCATGGCTTCTTGAAGCCTTTTACGGTCGCCTCCACGATCAGTAAGCCAGGATTGCACACACGTTTTGTGTTTAAGAGCACGGAGCTCTTCGGGGCTGGGCCCTGCTGACCTATGCCTCCCTGGGCTCAAGAGAATTTTTTCCTCAGTAGGTAGTCTCTCGCCCACTAAGTGGTGCGTTTTCCAGCGGCGAACCCGACTGATAGGCATTGGGGTGATGGTTCGAAGAACCTTGACGCGCCATGCGCAGGGGGCAACCGTTCCGAAGGCGACGGGTGTCTCCACAGACAAAACATCGTCGTGTGTTTGTGTGTTGCTTGTCAGCTTGGGACTCTGCTCTCTCGTCCTCAGCATAGCTGAGATCGATGGGCACAGGCCCGCTCGACGAGTAGTTGGAATGTGTATTCCAACCAAGCCATGCCGAGTTGAAATTGAATTCGGCATTCAATGCCACATTCACCGCCTCCTCAAATAAAGATGAATGCACACGGAATACTTCCATTTTGGCCACGCCAGTGCGAAGGCATAAAGGCGGTCACTGTGACCGCCTCAGGAAGGGTATCTGCTGCCATCCCGGCATTGAGAATGCGCATCTCTTGGACAAAGTCCACCAATCCCTTGTTGCCCTGTCGGGCGGCAAGAAAAACGCAGCTTCGACCGAAGTCCCAGTGCCCATCTCGCGCTCGACCACCGAGCATTGATATGGCTAGCGCCACGCGCTGTTGCTTGGTCAGGAGCATGGCAGATGCAATTGCCATCTCGACCTCTCATATCCAGATCAATAGATTCTCTATATCCTTCCCCTCGAAGACCTCGACGCTCACCATGAGCGGCTTAGGTCGGGGAAAACCATCCGTCACTGACGGTGGCGTCATAGACGCAAATGATGCAGATATCGTCTGCTGCAGGTGCTCTAGCAGCGTTTTTCTTATTTTAGACATCTCTAGACACGTACCGATTGCCTCGGGGCCTTGAGCAGCAAGGTGTTGCACGCCCTCAGGGCCAAGCAAGGACATCAGCTTGTTAAGCTCGTCGTGCATGCCCTGGGGCAAAGAGTAAAATTATTCCATCCTCACTGAAGATCAATCGTAACGACTCAAGTGTAGATTGACTACAAGTGCTACCGAGTGCAGCGGGGCTGCCGTAGCTATGCGCTTTGAGACAGCATGAGTTAGGCCACCGACTTTCGTTCTATGCTCAGAACAAGTACGAGTTTAGCGGGTCGCAATCCGCTTACTTCAAGAGTTATTACAACCTAAACTCAAGGATAATTAACTTTTCCGTTTATATTCAATATTGCTTTTATTTATATTAATCTGCGGCAAAGCCGCCTAAATTTTGAATGCATAGATTTTCCAAAATATGTATAGTAAAATCTAAATACATGTATATCTACTGGCTATCCAGCCCCGTACCGTATTCTTGTTTGGGTGTGGTCACACCTTGCTTATCTGGTGTGACCACACCTCTTTACCAGGGTATGTGTTACCCGTTACAAGACGCCCACTGAAATTTTGGATCTCGTGTCATCCACAACAAATCTAGTTAACGTTAAATCCTCTTCGTCCGTCACCCTAATATTTCATCGCTTCGACATGTCCAGCAGCTTTTCAATAACCATACATGTATGAGTTTGTCTGTGGTTTAAAAATGGAATTGACTTACTATCCAATAACTGAGTTTTGAATTTCAAGATATATTCAACCACCACGTGAATCGTTCTTTAAGCTCGACACCAAGTTATAAACTATTGTCTTGACAATGACAATTGCTTCTGCCGAGTTGTCACCACGATCACCATCATTCACATCGTAAAGCTTAGCAACACAATGTATTTATGATGGGAAAAGTAAAATGATTGGATGAATGTTGGTCTGGCAGAGCGATAAGAAATTGTTGTGGGCTGTTGTCTCGAACGCCAGGACTGCAAAGAAACTGAGTGTCGAAATCTTCCGTACCACAGCCGATAGAGTTAAAGGTAACTTAAACTAGCGAGTAGAAGAGCTAGGCCATATTGGTGAATGGAATGCTTCATTCTGACGAAAATGCGGAGTCGACCTCCTTGTGACGGGATCACTGTGCGCAGTAGTGAGATTTCATGAGTAAGTGGCGTAAAAGATATTCACTTGTAAAAGGAACTGAGGCATTCCAAGGGGACGTTAGCTATCCAAACTACCTCAAGTGGAAGCTCCTATAGAGCTGAACAGATAATATTCTGGAAGGAAAAGGAAGACAGTGATATCACCAAAATTGCGCGGTTGATCCGGAAAAGCAGCTATTCTCGTCACCGGTCATAGAAGAGTCTAAAATTAAGGATTACTTCAGAATAGTAAGTACGAGGATTTGGACTGCGAGGTTCGAGGGTACAAATCTTTTTGATGTTTTTCTTAAAGGGATATACGATAGATCCACCACGCGTGTTACATCTGGATGTCGAAGCGTGTCATGATGTTGACTTGGTTCCCGGAAGCAAATGATGAATCACACGGCGGTGGTTCATGACATGGGAAATAGTGTGATGGTGAATCTTTCTTTCCGTTCGAAGCATGAAGCAGGTTTTGGTGAGAGGCAGTGAGCCTCCACAATTGCCGCCGTCTTTATGCCAGAAAGGCTCACGGCAAGTGGTGTATTATGTGTTTATAGTTCATTGCTTACAGCCACGATTCTGGCGCAAAGACCATTTTGTATTGGTGGAGTGCATGATCGGCTGTACATGTTCAACGCCCTCCAGCAGGGTGAATGTCTTCATTAAATATTGCTAAAGGATATCGTTATATCCCTCACTGTGGTGGACATTCGATGTGACATGCTCTGGAATAGCTCATTATCCACAATGACTGACTAACGCACCAGCGGTATTCAATCGTCTATGTTCAGGCGAAATCGTAGGTGTGACTAACCTATTTTGATCATTTATTTTCCAACAGTCGTGCATATCTTGGAAATTCAGATGTACATTATACTTTTGCAAGCATTGATCGAGTGTTGGCATTTGCCAATACACACATGTATGTCACTAACGTCGAAAACATCCTCTTTCTGGTGAGGGTGACTATAAATTGGCAAATGCCCCTGTTCCAACAGACCAGGGATTTGGCCTGGTCTAGCCAACGATTTTCACAAGCCCAGTACAAAATATACCTACATAGCACGACCCTATACAACTCAATACCCACACCATCAGACCAACCAGTCTCTCATTTCCTATTTTTGGTGGCCTCACATGTATAAGTGGATGGCACGATAGGTGAATACATGTGATGTTTATCAGCGCGTGAAGAGCGCAGGGCAAACGCAAGCGCCACTGCAAAGTCTTTCTGTTCCTGCTGACGGTTGGACATCAGTCGGTCTCGACTTTGGTGTCGGCTTCGTCGAGAATGCTGACGGCCGCAATAGGTGCTCGTCTTTGTTTACAGGCTCAGCAAGATGGTTTGCATTGCTCCGTGGGCGATTCCATTCATGCAGAACGTTTGGCTAGATTGTTCATTGATCACGTTTTTTACATCACGGGCTGCCAGACGTCATCACCTCTGATCGTGATACACGATTGACGAGTAGCTCTTGGGAAACATTGATTCGGGTTTCTGACACAAACTTGGATGCGTCAAGAAGTATACCCAGAGACCGATGGGCAAACAGAACGTGCCAATTGAGTGGTCGGTAGTAAGTTGAGAAAATTCTGTACAGAAATTCCCAAAAAAGAGTACCTTGTTACCATTGATGAGCTCGCTGAGAGTAATTCGGCTCATTCATCCACTGCAATTACGCCGTTTATAATGAAAGGATTGCGACACCCGCAAGTCCCGCTTTCTGTGATTGGTGGTGTTCCGATGTACGTGGGGAGTGGAGAGTGGCTCGGCAAATCACTGCCTCTCAAATGGATATAATCAATGATGCAAACGTGAAGCGCGAGTACAAAGACGCCCTTAGCTCATTCATCATGAGTCGTGTGAATGTGATTACACGGGTGCAAGACGCAATGGCGAATACGCCAGATCTGCAAACGGAATATGCAGATAGACGAGATTAAAATGCAGAATGTCTTTTATTGTAAGATATCATTGACTACTTACTGCTAAGAGTCTATCAGACGATGCGGTCTCAAGCTTGAGAAGCTTGAAGCTATGCATCGCTTCATCGATCCATTCCGAGTAGTTTCATGCCATGGAATGCGTACACTATCGACCTACCAAGCTGGCTATGGAGTTGGCTGCACAATCTCTATCTTATCGACGACGCGATGTTTAACCTGAATGTAACGTGGGCTTATTTTAATGTGGTTTTGGAGCCACAGCTTTGGCGCGAGAGTCGAAGGTTGAACCCCTCAGCGTCGTCACTTCAGCATCGCCCTCGGAATGCGGAAATAATCGAGAGCGCCCGAAATAGAGCGAGATTGATTGACAGAAGGACCCGCATCATCAGCAGAAGCTGCCGCAACAAGTGGGAGATCTTGCAGAGCCTGCTTCAATTGATGAACTCGATTTTCGATTGCGTCACCAGGCAAGTTGCCATGACGCCATGCGAAGTATCTAACTTCGCAAACGACCTACCCATTATCCTTCACGCGTTGTCGCATCAACGACACTTGATCGGTCACCTTGATCAGCCGCTGTCTAATGAGCGAGAGAAGCTTCTTCACCTTCGTCAAATGCAGTTCCAAGGCGAAAGCAGACTGCGGGCCAGCCACAGAAGGGCAGAGGGGACGCACGCTCCGGGCACCTTCCCCTATTCTAGATCAACAAGGAAAACAATACAATCACGTCGAGAACGTGGTGGCGGAGAGAAATCCGGACGTCGGAAGGAGCTCTTTGTAAAATACCCAGCGAGCGAGAAGACGTAGCCCTGTACTCGTATTCGTCGCGACTTTCCCAGTACCATTCGCGCGTTCGATTCAGGCCCGAAGATGGACCCTGCTTTGAAGAAATGGTCATTCCTCTTCTCTCTGTGTCCCGCCCGTCTCGAAGCCAACTGATGGTCGAGCGTTCTTCACGAGATTCCTCGATCTCGGGGTAAACCCGAGTCTACGGTGTTTATTTCGCAAATCGAAAGTACACATCGTTTACCTTCAACGAGTCAGCAGCGGTGCTTGCGCTTTGCAAACGATGGATGTCCATGAATTTGGTCGAACAGACCCATGCCAAGACTCGAGTGTCGATTGTCTGAATGAAATCCAGATCGGATTGCTGGATGTTTGGAACATACGCGAGACTTCGTGGTTTGCCTTTAGCACGAGTAATCGGTCCGATGGCGCAAAAACACGCGGCTCGAGTCATCAGTCGAGCACCCATTCGCCTAAAGAGTTAGATTGAATCGCCACGTCATTTATAGAAGTCGCCGTGACGATCAAGTTCACGATAGAGCAAATGCGCAGAACCACGTGGTATTGGAACAATATCCAAGTTTGATGGTTATAAAAATCTCTGTGGGGCGAACGTGTGGGTTCTCACTCTAGCGAAAGTTGGACTGAGAAGAAGAAAAAGAAGCAAATTTTAAGAATTTGGGTAGACCCACTTCTGAACTGAGGTGTGTAATGGGCCAGGTTTTATTGCACATGTTTTGTGGACCACATACTTTGTGTGTCTGACTTTAACTGTACATCCTGTACAGTTATATATTTTCTATTAGTTTTGTGTATCAGATGTGGAAGTACTTATCAGGGTTTGAAAGCCTATTGACAGATGTAACTTCACCTTTCCACCTCTTTGCGTAAGTTAACGGCCCGCGGAAAGCGAGCAACGCGCGGTGAGGCGTGTCAGTTGCCTAAGTCTTGCTCAGAAAAGTGTGTGGATAGGGACGGGCAATTCCCCTTACACCTTCACGGTACACAATCTGACTGGCTACACTCAACACTATATTTGAGCGAATGTAAACCAAAGGATGTCTTGTTGCACGGATCTAATGCCAGCTCGCTGAGTTTCGGCAGCAGATATTTTTCGATCAAAGTAAATGCTAGTCCCCCCCCCGCCTAATCGTCTAAATGAGCCAAGACAGCATCATGCACACGCGTGATTGTGCGGCTTATATGCTCACTAGGATGTGGCAATCCCGATGTCGAATCTTTCCTATTCTAACAAAAACCTAACTGAGCCTCTACACGAGCCAGCGTTCGGGCTTTATCCACCACATCAATCACAAGCTCGTCCTCACCCACGAGGAGCTCATTCATTTCGAGTAACATACTCATCACAATCTCATACGACAAGCACACGGCACCACACTTTGTTTGGCGAATTGTTTATCACGATGACGTTTGCAATATCAAATACCACTTGAAGAGCTATTGGCGCAATAAAGAGGTTTGTGCCCTATACAACAAGACCTGTTCGTGTCTTGCCGTCACTATCGAGAAATGTGCGCCGGTTGATTCCATTGATCGTGTTTGGACCGTGTCTGGACGACCACCAGCAGGTTTGAATAGATCGCTCTAGACTTGATCGGAAATCAAGTTACGCGCACGAATTCCTTTCTGCGTATTAATGTCTTACCTTACAGCCGTGGCCGCCGCTCTGGATGGATCAAAGCTCGACAACCGTAATGAGCGGCGTGCCAGACGCAGCAAATCTAACATGTCTAAACCCTGGGGGAGTTTGATCACACTATTCACTGAAGCTGCTTACGGTTCGGCTATTTGTTTCATAGTCATAGTCCAGTTAGGTCCCCATAGGTTACACCCGTGAATCAAACAGTACATGACTACACATTTGAATCAATATTTTGGGAACGCAGTGCTATGTTGGCAAACTCGGCTACACCTTCACTCGTGACGCCATAGACCTTAAAATAAAAATTAAGCGTCAGACTAGAACTGAAATTTCACGTGAGTTTGGGTAACCACGGTAAGTGGCCCGCTTTGTCATCCAAACGATACCATCTGGAATGATGTTTATATCTAACCCACAGCATCTTCACCACAATGGTCAACAATCTTGCTCTTCACGTCTTTGTCGGTGAAAGTTAAGTCCAATCAAGTATCCGAAAAAGCATTAGCATTCTTGCGCCGAATAAAGTCCTGTGGCGCTACATCCCCATCGGTTCAATTTCGGATCAGCTTTCGAGCCTACTTCAGGCGTATCCTTGATCTTGAGTTTGCGCAAATACCTTTCATGAGTTTGAGCATACGTCGAACTTGGGTATACCATATGTAGCACACTCCGTTCGATACCACGAAAACGCAGCTAAACTCCTTTTTGTATCGACGACCATACATAAAGAACACACCGTACGGCGTATCTTTTCCCACAGTCCCGTACCACATACTTTGTGGATCCATTTGTGTTTACGTATAACGATTGCGCACAAACTATTTGATAGGTACCGTACCAAGCACTACATCTGCTATACTATTAAAAGCGAAATTGCGTCTTCATTCTTCATATTACAGCGGTTATAAGATCTTTCACCAATGCAATCTCTTCAGCATCTCCACTGTGGAATAAATTTGGCCAAAATCCAGCAATATGCAAAGAAAATGGCAAGTTTTGATCGAATTGTAGCTTCTCCTATGTTCGCATCAAAGCGTATGCAAATGAACAATTTCGCTACAACACCATGCAGCATTTTTCTGTACGCATACACCAGTTTTGCTCGAGATCCGGATGATGCAGTGTCAATTATACTGGACGCTCGTTGATTCAATTAGAACACTTATAGTTTCTGCGGAAAATCATTTGAGGGCACCTGCACATGGTTAAACAAGAATTTGAGTCATCGCAAAATGACCTTCACGATTTTGCGAGTCTTTGACTACGTCTTAATGTGCACGCACAACGTTGAGATTGCATAGACCGTGATATTTGCAGCCTTTTGCATGAAACCCTTGGAAAGGTCGTTTGATACAGTATCTTGGTAGGATCGTCAGTGGCACGTCAACTCTTCTTTTTTCTCCTTACTGCGTGTTTCCTACTTTTGCTCAACATCAACAGCTTCACGCTTCGTCCAACGCACGTGATAAAAACTTTACATACACCACGCAAGACGACGAGGATGACTTAATTGTAAAAACATGGTGTTGCTTTTATTCAAAAACTAGTTAATAGCGTCCGGTTCAAAATGTGGACCGAGCTCGTTTCCTTAGCATATTTACCTGTTTGAAAGCAGCACAAAAACCTTGAATATTCTCTATTGCAGTCTTCTCTTCCATTACTCGATTCGGAAAATGGTTCTTGTCGATCAAATCGAAAGACACCCAATTCTAAGGAGTTATAATCTAACCCGTGATGAAATTGCACCCTTCACATTTTGTGGAAGCTGCGTTTGCCAATCGATCAGGAAAAATGACATTGCTCTGTTTGACCGTCCGTTACAGGGTGTGCCTCTGTTGACATCGAAAACTGTACCTTAGTTTCTTGCCAACATGCCAACCTTAGTACTTCTGGTCGATTCATGAAAAAGATCTTCCTGGGCGGTTTGCTTTTACCGCACTTATGACTGCTCAGCAACCCGAGATATGCTTTGGTGGACGGATTATCGTGTGAGTCGAGTGTTGGAAGACGTACTGCGTAGTCACGCAACATCGTTCAAAGAGTGGATAGACTTCCCCTTTTGCAGAGTTTGCGTTCAACAACTTTACATATGTCTCGACAGGTCATTCACTATTTTATGTGAACTATGGTATTCATCCTAGAGCACTTTTTTTCATAATGAACGAGGTCTCTTCTTTAAGTGAGGGGGGAACTATGGTTATATAGCCACAGTCAGACCATTAATGCTGTCATAGAGTTAAAAGCGAATTTAAACTCAGTGAGACCTCTAGATGACATGATAAGTCGTGAGGAAGAGCACGTCGATGACTTCATTGCGAGAAAATAAGCCGTTGTTCGGTTTGTTTGAGACACAATTAAGGAAGCTCAGGATCTAAAAAAAGCAGATAAGAGCGGAGGGAAGAACAAAAAGGTATATAAGGTCAATGATCTTGTACAACTTTCCACGCCAAATCTGTCAGAATATGCAGTTTTCAACTTGGGAAGCAGGAATTTTACCAAGATTCATTGGACCACTAAAGGTGATGAATTGCAATGGTGATACGTATACCATCCCTACACGCATGGGCCTACATCCTACATTTTCTTAGGGTAGGCAAAGTCGTATATTCCGAGTGGATCTGCCGATCCTTCTCTACCTGTGGTAGATGATCGAGCTGCTCATAAAGTTTCTCCATTTGCCATGAAAAGCAACCAACTCCTCACCCTAGAGGATATCGAAGGCTTACTTTTGTACTAATTTCAACGCTTGGAGGCGAGAATGGTACTCACCAAAGAGTACCTCGAGAACAGATCCTGCCTCTTCAACAGAGCGCAACAGGTGATCGTGAGCTGTAATCATTCATGTAATACCGGCACAATGGCAATTCATGCATGGAAGATTTTGCGGCGGTTAAATAAAAGATAAGAATTATAAATCAAATCTAAGGATCACACCAATTTCCTGAGACTTGAGCTCTGCATGAAAAAGTATGTTTGGATTTGTTGGCAATTATCAGCCTAAATGAAGGAACAAAGATTTTCTTAGCAAAAGCACCTTCAACGACGCGTATCGTGTATAGAACCAAAATTGACCATTTGTTCAGTGAAGACTATATAAATACTCATCTCGGACTACGCAAGACAGAGAACAAATTTGCTTTGATCGTTACGAGTCTATTGGTCGTCCAGGAAGACAAACTTGAAGCACTCTTTCTTCAGCTCATGATGGAGACCACCAATCTTAATTCGTCATTGGACTTACGTCGCAAAAATCTTAGCGGATAATCTGAGCCGCGATTCAGCGGGAAACGATATTTTCTTCACAAGCTCAATGTCGATCAAAACAACATGTTTGAAGTCGAGGAACTCTCAGCATCTCGAAAAAACAACCGATAAGTCTCATCTTACGCTTTACATGATGCCAAATTAATTCAGAGAGGCGTTGCAGAACAACTTTGTCCAGATTTCGTGAGTATGATAAGAGTATCGCTTAAAGATGTCAGATTTAAGATCCAATGAAAAACAATTCTTCCGAAAAATATGACGCGTTTACAATTTGTGATTTACGACGATGAGCCAAATAATCTTTTAAAATGTCTAAATTAATTCCATTATTTTTTTTTCTTAATTGTGGTGGATTTTCAGACCAATAGCAGCTATCTAGTTTTATGGTACAGCAATTCGTCCCGACTGTCAAGCTG